CCGAAAATGTATTCGTTGTTCAGTTCTCGGCCGGGGAAGGTACGTGTAATATCGACACGTCCTTGGACCTTGTTCCTGTTAGTGTCTATGCATAGGCAGGAGGCTTTAGGCTGGGGTTTGAGCGTACATCTTTGGTGAATACAGAGTCATCTGTTGCGTTGATTTGCTTCAGATTAGCTGGGTAAAGGAAGTTCGTCCAGATATTGTTTTCCAAGGACCAGAGTTTGTCAAAACCAAGATCAGGAGGATCTGTCGCTGCAATGATGGCAGGGAGACATGAAACTGCTGCAAAGACAAGAGAGCGCATGGTGAAGATAATCAATGTCTTTTCTTTGAAAAGTGTCTCTAGGGATCGATGTATATCCCGGAGGCGAAAGGTTTTTATATACACTACTTCCCTGCAGACATGATATGATCTTCAAGTCAGACAAGAGGGTCAGGCTAGTGATTTTGAATCACACATTGGGTCTGGTATGCTATATTATCAGCTGGCCTGGAACTTGGCAATCTGACATGTAGTGTTTGTGGCGCATCTGAAATACGGACCAGAGCTAGGAATGCATTTGTCTCCTAGCGTCTATCCCTTGCTTTAACTCTTTACTGGAACATGTCTTGCCCCAGGTAGGCTGGTACTTTTTATTTGTCGATAATTGGCTCTGGGGAGTCACTAGCTTTTATTCTGCCGTATAATGTTTTCTGTTTGGTCATTGGGTTGTTTGGTTGTTCAAATTCCATCGTCGACAAGGTTAGTATGACGGGAGCACATGAGCTCCAGTGACCTGATCAGTCTATAAGAAGAACGAAACCCGAGCGATCCACTATCTGGGTTATTATGGAAACATGTGGCTAGTTCAAGCTTGGTTGGTGGTAGCCCAAGCTGAACAGGGACAACAAAAATATGTGAAGATCTACTCCTTGCTACAGGCATAAGACATATCTGATGCTTAACTATGCTGCCTGCATAAGTAAATTAAGGTCTACGCAGCGAGGACCCAATAGTATTTAGCATGGATTCTACCTATACCTGTATGTCCGTAGGCAACTTCAAGGAGGACATCGATAGTCATCTATATCTTGTATTTTACTCTTCGCAGCAGGACAAAAAGCAAAACTAAAATGTAAAAAAAGTACAGAGTGCGCTCGATGGACTTTGGGAGACAGACACGAAAAAAAAAATTCAACAGGATGCAAAGACAAGGCCAGGCGTTGCCTCGTGTTTATTAAAATGGTCATGAATATGATGCATAGTATCTTCTGCTGGAAAACAGGATACGGTCCGTTCCACCTATGAATCCCTTTGGAAAGCCTCGTATCTTGGAAGTAAGCAAACAGCCAGCTCAGCAATAATTCCTACGTAAGATTTCGCCAATAATAATCTTGTTGAGCGAGCTGTGGTTCGAATCATCAGCCGCGGAAGCCCGGAAAGCTGCTCTCTGGGTTCACGACGACCAACGTCGTTAATGTGACCTAAGCTCATGACTTGAACTGAACAGGGACATCCCATTGAGAATGGTGAACACTCATTGGCTGTATAGTCGACTGGTAGAAAGGGTATCCACATGTGCAGGATAGGATTTCTTTCGCCTTGAGCTATTGGTAAAAAAAAAAAGCAATCTGCAAAGGAACGGGATAGAGACTTGTGTAGGTAGGTGATCTGCATTGCTCAACGTACTCACAGTACTGGTACAAAGAGATATTCATCACACTTACCGCTATTATAGAAGTGAATACGGAGTACTGTGCTCCTTATTAGAATAAATCATGCAATCAGCCCCATGGATCATAGACTGCCATGAACGATATGATGCTAGCGTAATCATAAAATTATTATCTGAAAATATGAAAGATTGACTCGATAACCTCAATCAGCATTGTTCAAGTGATCATGGCAACTCCACATTATAATAGGCGCCCAAAACTCATGACCACAGAGCTAATGTAGTCTATGATAGCAAAAGGACAAAAACATCATATTGTGCTGAGCTGTACTGGTTGCCTAAATTGTCCCAAACTCATGGTTGTGATAGCATCAACTGCTATGAACAGCTAGACGATGTAATACAGATACCTGTAAGAATTATAGGTCAGTGACTTATGTACTGAAATACCGCGGACACATCTCTCTCCCCGGTCTCCTGGCGCATCAGCAGGTCTTGAATCTTGCTGAGGGCACCCTTCTCGCCATCATTAACAAGATGGTTCCAGGTGCTGGTATCGCCATACAACATAGCCTGCGCCTTGATGAATTGTGTTCCATCTGGTCTGCATCTCTTGCACTTGAAGGTGTCATGTGTGTCACTTCGAGTTTCTGGCTTGAATTGGAACAATTCGCGTAGTGACTCCAAAGAAAAATGCCGCTCAACATCCTCCGCTGAATCCACAACGCATGAGGACAGTGATTGCTTATGAGATTGCCGTTGGAAAATCTTCTCCTCAATTGAGCCAGTCGCGATGAAGCGGTACACAAAACAGTCTTTCTTCTGGCCATCACGCCATACTCGCGCCAATGCTTGTTGATCAGCGGCTGGGTTCCAATCTGGGTCAAAAAGCACGAGGCGATTGGCGCCTATTAAATTGAGGCCACATCCACCGGCTTTGCTGCTGAGGAGGAATACAAACTCTTCCCCGTCCGGGTTGTTAAACTTGTCGACAAGCTTTTGCCGCTTATTCACATTCATAGTACCGTCCAGCCTCAATGAGCCATACCCCCTCGACCTGCATAGCTTTTCGAACAGGTCAAGTGTCTGAGTGTAGTTACTAATGAGAACAATTTTGTCGTTAGTGTCCTGGCGTATGCGTGCTAGCATTCGGTCCAGAACCATCATTTTCCCCGAATACCAAGATTTGATATCGCGGTCACGCCCTCTTGCCTCAGGTGGCACATAGTCCTCAGGGAATGCGAATTCACACCCGGGAAGGTCGGTGGAAAGGTTAAGTAGATCAGGGTGGTTGCAGAGCTTCTTCAAAAGGCCAATTGCCTTAAGGGGTTGGCTTCCTTTGCCCTTGAGCAAGCTCCTAATCTCTGGGCTCTGAATGAAGTGGTTATAGAGGTCGAGTTGGAATTGGGACAAGTTGCAAAAGACAACATGCTCATACTTGACAGGCAGATACTTCGTCAATATATCATTTGTTCGGCGGATAATGAATTTGTTGACGATGGTTGAGAGTTCAGCAAGGCATTCATCGCCTTTCTTTTTGTCTTCGTCCGACCCTGCAGCATCCCTTCCTCTGAGAATAGGTAATTCGAACTTTTTCCGAAATTCATTCTGCGACCCTAATAAATCTGGATTGGCAAAGTTAAGCAGGGCGAAATATTCCGAAAGATCGTTTTGAATAGGGGTTCCCGACAAGATAACGCGACGTTGTACATTCAGACTGTTGAGTGCAGTCCATGTTAAACTTTCCTTATTTTTGAGCCGATGGCCTTCATCGCAAAGAAGTAGCCCTATGGGACTATCTTTCAATACCTCAACATACATCCTGAGCGTTTCGTAGGACACAATGAGCACAGGTCGTACAACGGCGCGACCGGAAGCAATAGCCCATTGTTTGATCTGAGATGTGAGTTCTGTCTTCGAAGCTTTACCGTCCACCGCAAAAGGAGTGATGGCATCTTTACCTAGCCATTTCACTGTGGTTGTTAATAGGCATTCAAAACTTTAGGGCGCACTACTTACCAAGTTCATTGGCCCAGTTGCCAACCAGACTTGAGGGACAAGCAATGATACACTTCTGGATAAGGGTCTTCCCTGCCTCAGGAGACTGCTTGAGCAATGTCCACATCAATGAGATGCATTGAAGCTATCGCCGTCAGTCGAGACTATTGCTCTGAAGGGTCTATTGGTCATACCGTTTTCCCTAGTCCCATGCCATCCGCCATTATACAACCGTGTGCGTTCTTATCGACCATACCGGTTGTGCAGCGGTATAAAAACTAAAGAACAGTTATAGTTAGTCTAACATCACAAGAGAGTATTGACTGGAACCGTCATGTTACCTTTACACCTTCAATTTGATGTGGACGTAGAACTTTTGCCAACCTTGGATCTATCACGACAGGAACTTTTGGACCAGATTCAACTTTCTTCTTGAGACCAAGTATGTCTGCTAAACTCTTATGCACAAGGGGAGCGTCCAACTTGGGCTGTTGTTCTTCTGGCTTTCCATCATCTGGCGACTTCGTTTCAGTGTTCTCGTCGATATCATCAACAGTCGGATCATACAGCACTATCGCGAATTCTCCGCTAGGATCATGTAGAGGTTTCACAATAAATGTAGCACCTTGTCGCATCCCCAAAGTTGGTGCTGCTCTAGCGCCATTATAGCTGTCAACCGCCTTATTGATTAAAGGTATCTTGAATCGTTGTCTGAACGTTGTCTCTTTATCTTTAGGTTTGAAGACAGGGAACCTATTCACATCTCTGGTGGCGAGTGCTAAACGTTCCTCGTTGGTGTATGGTTTTTCACTATTATCGTCCACAGTTTCATCTGCCCCCGCATAATTCACCTTTCTTCGTTTCCTCGCAGGCTTGTCTGACGTCCGTGTGGGTGTAGCAGATCCAGGGCATTTGAATGGTTTCGATAGGCGGTCAATGGACGTTGAGGACGGGGTCTGGAGGGTTTTGGATAACGGTGTGTTTCCGCCATCTTCCCTTACACTCGGTCGTGGTCGATACCTTGAGAAATTAGCGATGAATAGCATTAGGAGATTGAATAATTTCCCCCTTACATTTAAGGTAGCGATGCTATCCGGACAGCCTTTCTGATACACGTACTAATAGGTAGGCTGATGTCTGGCAGTCAATGTCACTTCCATAGACTCATGAACAACGCGTTGCCGCCTCTTGGCGCGCTTCCCTGTGATTGCCCTAACACCAAAGTGTCACGCTGTCACGTGTTGATACCAATGGAACCCCGCCACGATGACGAGTTCGCATCAATGGAAGCAATGAAGTAACCTTAGACTACCGACTACAGTTCAGAGGTCGAAGTTTGATCTCATGTCCTCAGACTTCTGGGCTGGCTACCTTAGTGGGGCCATCGGGATCATCATTGGAAATCCTCTAGACCTTATCAAAGTCCGATTGCAAGCCAGTCGTGCTACAGATGCAGCTGCAACATTGCCACACCAGCAATTGAGCCGCTTTGAGAGCACCGGCTCTCTCGTGCGAGGTTAGCCGGCCACTGCGAAGTTCCCCGACAAGACGCATCAACTTACCTGCATATTAGGTGCTGCGGCTCCAATTCTCGGATATGGGGCTCTAAATGCTATACTTTTTGTTGCCTATAACCGGTCATTGATGCTCTTGGACAGTTCCGTGACAGACCCCACAGATCCTCAAGGAATTTCACTATATAAATTATGGCTTGCCGGTGCTGCAGGTGGAGTGGCCAGCTGGACTGTGTCGTCTCCGACTGAGTTTATCAAATGCCGAACGCAACTTGACACACGCCCGGGAGTGTCATCTTGGACCGTCACCAAAGATATTGTAAGGACCCTTGGCTGGAGGGGCCTTTATTTCGGAGGAGTGATAACCTGTGCTCGAGACTCTATTGGCTATGGATTTTAGTACGCACAATGCTTCCCCGGATTTCCCCCCGCATGTTCTACTTAGAGCGCACTATTTACTCATTTTGTCATAGTTTTTGGACTTATGAGTATTGCAAACGTCTCATAGCTTCTAAGGATGATGGTGCACAGCAGACGGCAATGAAAGTACTTCTTTGCGGTGGTGTTGCCGGAGTAGCTACATGGGCTTCAGTTTATCCGCTGGACATGATCAAAACTAGACTGCAGGCGCAGGGGCTCGGGACACGTCCTGAAGACCAGCCTCTGGTGCGGCCTCAAAATGATAGACGGGCGCTGAACAGCTTTCAGCTCGCTAGGGAGACCTATCGGACAGAAGGGCTGAAGGCCTTCTATCGCGGGTTAGGAGTGTGCAGTGTAAGGGCATTCATAGTAAATGCTGTCCAGGTATGTTTTCCCACATATACAGGTCAGGGCTACAACTAATCAAGCAATGTGTATAATAGTGGGCAAGCTACGAGTGGCTTATGGTGTATCTCGACAACCCATGGAATCAGACACATGCACAAGTTTCATAAATAGGGATATACTCCGGAGCAGATCGTCTACGAATATTGAGTTATGTCCATGTATTGCGACTTGTAAGTAATACTCGCCCTAACTGAATAGCGGCCGATATAGTGGAGCCCAATATACGAATGTCCGAGAAACGGCGATTCCGGTCGGGTCACCGCAAGACGGAATCAGCGTACTCGGTAAATCGGGCGCCAAACTCTGGCGGTTTTCGGCGCATGTGGTTTCACGTGTTTCATGTGACCATGCCGATCGCTGATTGGGCGAAAGGATTTGAGCTTTGCAACCAATAGCATTGTCTTCAAGACAACATCAATCCTCAAGGATGAATTTTTTTTCTGTCGCTTGCTTCTCGTTCAGCCTGTCCAAGAGACATATCCTCCTTCATATTGGCAATGTATATCCGATAGCTGCGGACACTCGTCAATCGCGTACTAGTCGTAGAAACTTAATCCTCCATGTCAACAACATTTTCTTCAGAGCGCAGGCCCTTATCAGTGCCTAAACCCACAGCGGCTTCAGCGACTTTCTGTGTATGAGGTTCTTCACGTAGGAGGCGAATTCTGTATGCACAGGATGTGCTCGAGTCAGCTTCAGATTGCGTGCGATTGCTTGCGCCAAATTGCAGGGTCTATTACTGACCTTCGTTTATGGTTTTTACCCTTTGTGTGGGCAACCAGGTTGTGTTCACTCTCAAACCATTTTGAGCACTCAACGCAGTAATGTTTTCCAAGTCCTGGTAGGTCCTCGGGGTCCTTGGTGGCTTTATATTGCGCAAGGTGTTTGGGGGATTCGATATCAGCTCGAACCTGATCGTAATCCCTGCAGATATCACTCCAGTCAGAATATTTTTCGCAAATCCCTAAGATGTAGACAATAGCTGAGGGTTGTAGTACCTTGTCCTGCGCTTTGTCTTAATTCTTCTCAAAGCGCCCATTTTGGATACCTATCTACCAGAACCAGCCTGCAGGTACTTTTTTTTTGGCGTCGCAAAGTCTTATCACCGATATACGGAACGATGCTAAAGCTTTAGTTGTTGCGAGAGCGGGTCAACAATCTCAAAATTTCCGCCTTTCTTTGTGTGAAAAGAATTTGGTGAAACATGTCGCTCTTCATTGGCCAAAAGCCCGCTGGCTTGGCACCGGTCCGCGGGAAGGATGACCATCGGTAGGCCTCGGCTCTGACTCGGCTCTGTCAGCAGGCTGGGGTCGCTGTTACATCCATCTTTCGCAGGTTGTAATTTATGACGTTTCCATTTTTTCGGCACATTGCTCCGGAACAGCATCGCCCAGTTGCGTTTTAGGAGAAATAAGACGGCAGAGGCCAATCAAGTTGCCGCAGTAACGAATTAGCAGGGTCGTCTTGATCCTGCAATGAATCTAGATATCTTTGCACTTTGCCACATTACGCTATCCATTATGGTCCCTATAGAAGCTGCCGACAGTGATGGGTGTCCCGATATGTCAAAAGCTGCATCCATGATGTACTCCGAGTTACTGGAGCTCAAGTTTGATGTAATAAGTCATGTATGATTGGTCTACCACGATCTCCGCTCACATGCGTTGGTCCACTGACCGCGCTTGTATTATTACCATGTAACCGGACGCGGGTAAACGTTAAGGTAGATACTAGTCTAAAGGTAGAGAGCTATTCTAGGTATCCAAAGGCCACATGGAGACTTGTCGAGGCCATTGAGAGTGAGCGCTTTTCGAATCAATGAGAAACCTTAGGTTTCCGGTTGGTGACATTATGGGTCCTGGAGTAGGAATGCGTGTAGGTAAGCCGAATTTTGAAGTACTCGACAGGGTAAAGAAGGGGGGGGCAATCGCGGGTTGCCCAGCCACTTCCTTGTGTCCGGTCGCATGCTTAGTTTGGTCCCAGGTGTCCCGAATGCGTAAGGCTCCTGTATTGTCACAAGCGGTTACGGGTCCTGTTCGCCGGTTCAGTAATGGCTACTGTAAAGCAAGAATTCTTTCCCACTCTGAAAAAACACCAGAGCTTCCTTTTATTTGCTCCATTTTCCCTCTTCTTCTGACCCTCTTTCCTCTCTCTCTTTACTCTCCACTCCATCTTTGCTGCTTCCAACTGTTGAAGCTAGCTGTTGTTGTTTAGCTCTTGGATGTGTTGCGGCCTTGCTCACCTCGCATAGAGAGCTTTCAAAATGATCTCCACAAGGCTCGCGCGCATGGGTGCGCTGGTAAGTCGTCCTCAGTATATCGCTTTGTCCAGCATCGCGGGACCTGCATCGTTTCCCCTTCGATGCTAGGTTTTCCGGCTGATTTACGCTTGAAGCGTCTTGAACTAACATGAATCTCTTCCACAGGCCCCCAAGTCCCGCCTTGTAAGAACACCTTGTTGATTGTTCTCGCTTCTGCGGGAAATTGGAACCCTTATGACAAGGGTATCGAATTGGAAACTAACCTATTCTCATAGTTCCTTGGGGCTCGGGGTCTGGCCACTGCCAGCGAACACCCTCTCGACAAGAAGGTCGAGATGTCCAACGTTGAAAAGGTGAGCAATGAGAAGACTGTACCCTCGGCTACATCGGGAGAGCGGGCGTTACCATACATAGAAACCGGAATTTGCTGACAATGTATCGCATAATAGGGCAACTACATCAACTACAAGTATGGCAGCACCTTTTACTTTTCATAGCAGGAGCTCTTGTTATATGAATGTGCCATCATGGTCCATTGACGCCGTGGCTAACAGTTGTGGCAACTTTTTAGGAAGATGTCTGAGAACTTGGAAATTGTTCGTCGTCGTCTGAGCCGTCCTCTTACGTACGCCGAGAAGATCCTCTACTCTCACCTTGACAACCCTCATGAGCAGGATATCGAGCGTGGTGTTTCCTACCTGAAGCTGCGTCCCGACCGTGTCGCTTGCCAGGATGCCACCGCCCAGATGGCTATCCTTCAGTTCATGTCGGCTGGCATGCCCTCCGTCGCTACCCCTACCACCGTCCACTGTGACCACTTGATTGAGGCTCAGGTTGGAGGTGACAAGGATTTGGCTCGTGCCAATGAGATCAACAAGGAGGTCTACGACTTCCTTGCCTCCGCTACTGCCAAGTACAACATTGGTTTCTGGAAGCCCGGCTCTGGTATCATTCACCAGATCGTTCTGGAGAACTACGCTTTCCCCGGTGGTCTGATGATCGGTACCGACTCTCACACTCCTAACGGTGGTGGTCTTGGTATGGCTGCCATTGGTGTTGGTGGTGCTGATGCCGTCGATGTGATGGCTGGTCTCCCCTGGGAACTTAAGGCTCCTAAGGTCATTGGTGTCAAGCTCACCGGTGAGCTGTCCGGATGGACCACTCCTAAGGGTAAGTTGCACCACGGTGATTTTATTATAGGTGAAACGGGAAAAAGCTGATTGATTGTGTGTAGATATCATCCTTAAGGTTGCTGGCCTCCTCACTGTCAAGGGTGGTACTGGTGCTATCGTTGAGTACCACGGACCTGGTGTCAACTCTCTTTCTTGCACCGGTATGGGTACTATCTGTAACATGGGCGCTGAAATTGGTGCTACCACCTCTCTGTTCCCCTACAATGACCGCATGTACGACTACCTGAAGGCCACCAAGCGTCAGCACATTGGCGAGTTCGCTAGGTCCTACGCAAAGGAACTTCGTGAGGATGAGGGTGCTGAGTACGACCAGCTGATTGAGCTCAACCTTTCTGAGCTGGAGCCTCACATCAACGGTCCCTTCACCCCCGATCTTGCTACCCCCATCTCTAAGTTCAAGGAGGCTGTTGAGGCCAACAAGTGGCCTGAGGAGCTCAAGGTCGGTCTCATCGGCTCTTGCACCAACTCCTCCTATGAGGACATGTCTCGTGCCGCCTCCATCGCCCGTGATGCCCTTGACCATGGCTTGAAGTCCAAGTCTCTCTTCACCATTACCCCCGGTTCTGAGCAGATTCGCGCTACTATCGAGCGTGATGGTCAGCTGCAGACCCTCGAGGAGTACGGTGGTGTCATCCTTGCCAACGCCTGTGGTCCTTGCATTGGACAGTGGGACCGTAAGGATGTTAAGAAGGGCGAGGCCAACTCCATCATCTCCTCCTACAACCGTAACTTCACTGGCCGTAACGACGCCAACCCCGCCACTCACTCCTTCGTCACCTCCCCCGACCTTGTCGTTGCCATGACTGTCGCCGGTACCCTCAAGTTCAACCCTCTCACCGATACCCTGAAGGACAAGGATGGCAAGGAGTTCAAGCTCAAGCCTCCCACCGGTGAGGGTCTCCCTGCTAAGGGCTACGACCCCGGCCGTAACACCTACCAGGCCCCTCCTGCGGACCGCTCCACTGTCAACGTCGCGGTCTCCCCCACCAGTGACCGTCTTCAGGTCCTCCAGGGATTCCAGGCCTGGGATGGCAAGGATGCCACCGACATCCCTATCCTCATCAAGTGCCAAGGCAAGACCACCACTGACCACATCTCCATGGCTGGCCCATGGTTGAAGTACCGTGGTCATCTTGACAACATCTCCAACAACATGCTCATTGGTGCCGTCAACGCCGAAAACGGTGAGGCTAACAAGGTCAAGAACGCTTTCACTGGTGCATACGATGCCGTCCCTGCTACTGCCCGTGACTACAAGGCTCGTGGCATCAAGTGGGTTGTCATTGGTGACTGGAACTACGGTGAGGGTAGCTCTCGTGAGCACGCTGCTCTGGAGCCTAGACACCTTGGTGGTCTTGCTATCATCACTCGCAGCTTCGCCCGTATCCACGAGACCAACCTGAAGAAGCAGGGTATGCTTCCTCTGACCTTCGCCGAGCCTGCCGACTATGACAAGATCCAGCCCGAGGACAAGGTTGACTTGCTCTGCACCGAGCTTGAGGTCGGCAAGCCCATGACCCTCCGTGTCCACCCCAAGGATGGCAAGACCTTCGACATCCAGCTCAACCACACCTTCAACGAGTCCCAAATCGAGTGGTTCAAGGACGGATCTGCCCTCAACACCATGGCCCGCAAGGGTAACTAATTTTCCACA